CTTCCAACCCCGAACATTCTGTGATTTTATGTGTTCAAGCGATGTATGAAGGAGGAAAACAAGGCATCCTGATGGCCGCACTGGTGGCACCCAGTCTTAAGCCCCAGATCAGAGGGTTACCGGATGCCCTAAAAACCCCCGTGAATTCCCTCAGGGAAAGGATTCAGAGCACAACACACGGAACGGGCAGAATGGGCGGCCAGGCCATGTGCTCAGCGGGGCGGAGCTGTTCCACCACCTTGTTCCCTTCGGAGGTGAGATGGGCTGGGCTGGACAGGAAGAGGCGGGTCTGCCGAGGCTGAGCCAGCCCCAGCCCCGAGTGGTTGAGCAGCGGAGCGCCCGGGATGGGCCCTACACGCCCCAGGCCTGGGAAGGGCTCAGGCCGTGGAGGTGCCCCAAAAAACAGGGAATGGGGCTGGACCTCTCAACATACAGGAGCACACACTTATCCCAAAGGATGAGCTCAGAGCCTGGGTCCTCTGCACCCATGAGAGCGACTGAGCGTGGGATGGAGATTTCCTGCTCACGCCTCACTCTGCAGCGTGTTCCCAAAGGGACCGCATTTGAGGGAACTTTCATTTCTTCATTAAATCAGTTTAATTATGCCTGCGGATCGCCTGAGGATGGCAGCACTCCTCACAGATATCGCCTCCTGCAGCTCTCGAGTGGTCATTTCATATCAGACATTGGGATATTTTAGAAGCTGGAACTGGATATCCTTTTATATCATGATTTGATGACACTGCGTAACGTTTGTAACAACTAGTTGCTAATTAAATCCTAGTTTGGAGGAGAATTTGTTCTTTTTTGTGTTTGTGGAAGGGTTCTCAAAGCAAGAAAACACCCACCTGACAATTCTGTGAGTGAAACTGAGGCAACATCTACCTCTAAGCAACTCAACCCACCGTACCTTGAAGAAAAGGACAATAAAGAAACGTTGAAGCAGAAAATTTTTAATTCATTCACAGTGTTGTTGGTTGGGGTGCTGTAGAGCTTGGTTTTCCTCCAGCCCACGTGCAGCTGCTATCATCTCATCTCATTTGTTCATTGCTTAGGCTGCTAGGTCAGAGGTGCCCAAGTGCTGTGCGTTATCGCTCCCTTATCTGGAATTGCTAATAACTCTTGGCACCTTGGGGTGTGCAGCCATTCCCCAACACACACCTCTCGTTTTTAGCTCTCAGATAAACTCAGCAAATTCCCGCCCCTTCCCTCAGCATGCTTTCCCTTTCATGCAGTGAGGAAGGTGGGGCAGGGATAAGCCACTTGATCCTCAGCAGGTGCCTCCTTATAGTTTGCAGAGATACTTCATGAGTCATTGCCAGCGGTTGCCTCTAACAGTGAAGTGATCTCTGTACCTGACTTGTATGCAGCTGGGAGCACAATGGGATCGTACTGGAGTGCTCGTGAGGTAAGAGCATGAAAATTCAAACCGTAGTTTATTAGAAACTGAAAATGGCCTGAAGTGGGTTTGATAAACTGGGATTCTGGTGCCTAGAAGAGGACTTGGGACCTGTTAGACCAACTTCATGTATTTGTTTACTTCTGCATGCCAGTATGATCTGCCTTTGTTCATAATCTCTGAGAATATTTTTTATTATTATTACTTTTTTTCTTTTGTTTCTGGAGCATAGCCAGGAAAGAAAGCCCTAAATTGCCTGTTGGACTCCAGGGAGTCAACATACTCTGTCCTCTTCTCAGCTCTGAAGTTAACCTTCTGTTTGACTATGAGCAAGTTATTTAATGATCCTGTGCCCTACCTTCCCTATTGTAAAATGGAGATTCTAGAGTTCTCTGTAACGTGGATGTGTGTTAGCATAAGTATGCATTGATGCTTGGAGAACTCAAATGTGGGTTCTTCATGGCTTAAAGAAATAAAAGCATGGATGTCTAATCAAACTGGTTAAAGAAACACTAAGGATCTACAGGTTCATCCTTTGGAAAAGAGTGGAAAGTAAGGAACAGTCTGGCAATGGACTTTGTGTGGAAAGTATATGTGCAAAGCAAGGAACAAGACTGTCCTCTCTGCTCTTCCCCTTGCCCTTAAACACTGAAATGGCCTCGTGAGGATGAATAAAAGTAGAGGCTTCTTGCTGATGACCACAAGGATTTTTTTGTTTGGGTTGTGCCTAGTTATTTCTTTTTCCTTCTTTGCTTGTGCTTTCAGCTAATGACCCTTTTTGCAAATAGCCAGCTCCTGGTTTGAGTGGGTAAGGTTCATTAACATCTCTTCCGCAGCTGTTTTGTGTAGGTTTTGATGCATTTGTGCTGGCAGTGCCTCACTCACTGAGCAGTTTCATTTTCCTCTGCGGTCATGATGGTTTCGAGCATAGTTAAGAGATTGAAATCTGTGATGTCATGATTATATGTTTTACCATGGATTGTTTCTGTTTCCTAGCATTTCTTTGTATCCCCTCATTCTCCTCTTTCTGATTACAGTAGCTGAAAACCTCACAACCTTTCATGTGTTTGCTCTTCACGATTTCTGGGAAAAGTTCCTGATAAACATTTAAAATAGAAAGTGGAATTCTTACTAAATAAAATTATCTGAAGAAAATAACTGCTTTCCATGTGAAATTTCAACTCTTCAAGAGAATTAAATTTACTTTATTTTTGTCAATAGATGTTTAATGGGGGTGCTTCTCATGCTTTTTGCCAGCTTATTTTTCTTTTAAATTAAAATGTCCTGTCCTGTAATGCAAGCATTAATTGTATTTTAAAAACTTCTACTGTGTTATCCATTTTACTATTATTACTTCTGTCTATGGCATATATACAGAGAGCAATGCTTCCCCTTTTTTACCTCTTTTTTCACTCTATGTAGACATGTTTTTAACTTCCAAAGCAGTGCAATTAGTTCATCATCCAGTTTTGCTGCACGGCTTTGAACATTGCAACACATGTTTATGGGAGGACATATTTCATGAATCATAAACAATTTAATATTAATGCAGATTATAACTTTGCTATTTCTTTGCAGAGTGAAGAATGTCCATGCTGCTCACTCTCTGTGAAAATCATAAGGATGAGAAATCTGAGAAAGGCAGATCTGTGTGAGTATCCCAGTCTTTCCTGGTAATTCAGTCCTGAAAGCAGAGGATATAAGCAAGCGCTGTAACTTGTAGCTGTATGTGAAGTGTCACCATGGTTTCAAATATTGATGCATGTTTGAATGTTGACTATTCTTAGAATACAGTTTTGTATAAACAATATCTTTCAGTTTATAGAATGTTACTATTTGTGGAAATACCGAAGGTCTGCTGTGGCATACTGTGAAGTATCTTAACTGCTGACAGGCTTCAGAGCCAATTTTGCTGAACAAATTCAGCTCTGACTTCTTAGTTGTAGGCTTTGATGCACGGAGATTCAGGCTGCACCTCTGCCTCTGGACAAAAATGCCAGCACTGAGACGAGTGGCTGCCAGAGCCCGTGGGGTAACAGGAGAGCTTCGGTGTCATAAGCATCACCTGACTAGTTTTTTGCAGACAGCAGAAATACACGCAGGCAACTCTGAATTTCTGTTTTCTTTGAAAAAGAAAAGAAAAAGAAAGATGAGTGTTACATATCTTCTTGTCAGTCATTTTCTCTCTGTCAAATGCTTACTGGTATGTATTTGAAATACCAGACTTTCAAGGCAAAATGAGTTCCATTGAGATGTTCCTGTGTACATGATGGCATGGGTGGTGGTAGAAGCGTAGAGAGAAATATCTCAACAGTTACTCAGGTGGCAGAAAGCGAGCTGAAGGTCAGCTCAAAAATTTGCCTTAGAGAGAAAGGGCAAGAGAGGAACACAATGGAAAGGATGTGAATATGAACCTTTGTGTATTAAGATCAAGCGAACTCAGCAAGAGTATTTGCAATCTGCATGGAGATTGCTATTCAGTTCTTGCTTTCCTGCTGTTGAGCCTAGCACAGAAATACTGCATTTTCTGGAAAATAGCTCATTTTCAGACGAGAATGAAAGAACGGTTGTGGTCTCTCTCTGGCTTTTTAATCTCAGCTGAACTCTTTTCTGGCCCAAGAGAATGACGAAGTTGTTCTCACAGCCAGTAGCACTAAGATAACTTATTATCTTCCTCTGGCCTTAAAATCAGGGATGTTTATATCTTTCTTAGTATTTTACAATATTTGGAAATGACAGCCTTTACATTGTTAAGGACCAAAGAACTTCCAGAAATTCATAGCCATTTACCTTAACTCTTTTTTATTAGCCTTTATCCTGTGTCTTCCATTTTTGAGCAGATGTTTGACTGCCTGATTCAGGTATGAAATTGGATTGGTATTGCCAGAGGTTTGCTTCCAAAGCCAGATGTGGAGGAACGTCTTTGCTGGAAAGAGGCAGAAGAAGCAGTGCTAGGTGTCAGGGTCTGTGAGAGGAGCAGCCTCATCCATTCCCTATCCCAGCTGCCTTTTTGTGTCGTGTGACAGAGCACCACATTTTATTTTCCCTCTGAGAATGAGGAGCAAGTTACCTGTGGCACATCAGAGAGCCAGTGAGATTTTACCGGTGCCATACCTGTGTGCTCCCTCAGAGCCGTGTTAGTGGAGCCGTGCCACGTGGTAATACACGTAGTGAGAAATGAGACTGTGTTAGAAAGTGTTACACTGAATTAGAAAACTGATGTGGGAGTATAGTAGGAGCCTTTATGTGGCAGCCCTTCCATTGTTGACAAAGATGCTGTGCAGCAAGGTTTTAACACCTAAACAATGAAGAGAAGTCATCAGCGGAAGAGATCCAAAGGCACTTGTTAAAAAACCTCTGTCATGGGAGAGAGAGGTGTTGGCATGTACAGCAAAGTTTGCTTTGTGCTCTCTAGCGAGTTTACAGTGGTTTAGGTTGAAGTGTATTTATAGGCAGTGAGACAAGTGGAGGCTTTAAAGGCAAATTGAGGAACGCTAAACTATGCATTTCATTGCACATGAATAGAGATGCTCAAATGAAGCAACACCGATTTAAGAAAAAAAGCAAAGATAACTAGTTAGGCTTAGATATCTGTATTTCTGCAGATATTGACTTTACCAGGATTTACTCAAAATTGAAATTTTTAAAATATTTTATGGGAATGCATTTTTCATATAATTAACATACTCAAGTGTTTGTATTTGAAACATATTTGGCTCAAAAGATGTTTTAGGAAAAGATTGTGTTTCCTGCTCATGTTTATTTGTTTCAATCACTATTTCTGTACATTTTAAAGCTGTTACAAGAGACAGGAGAACAGAGAGTTGAAAGATGGCACAGAAATAATGTAAACTGCAAAGAACCATTGGTGCTTCAATTGGGTCACAATCTAGTTAGACTAAGCTGTGTTTTTTCAGAAGACTGCCTGTCAAAGATGAACATGCTTTGCTTTTCTTCAGCTGTAGCACCACAGCCCACAGAGCCCATGCCTCCTTACATCTCACACATGTCGTATAACATAGGACTTGGTTTTTTTATTATAGGATAACGGTAGCAATGATCTATAATCATGATCTCCTGACCTTTTCCCTTTATATCAGACAAAAGTTTGTATTTTTGTGTAGTGTGGGCATAATGACAAGAATTAGACTACTAATTTGTGTTGAAACCTGATAGGAGTGAGGCTTGCTCATGAATTGGAAAGGTTTACTCCTACCTTGTGTAGGTTATCAAGCAACTGTAATCTGAGTAGTACCTATCATTCCCAAGAAAAAGCTGTTGAAATTCCTGGGCATGTTTCAGTTTGACTAAATTTTCTCTTCCAAAATTTGTGAGAATACCAGACCAGTTCAAAGTTGCAGCTCAATGGACAGTATGACCCCAGCACTGGCCTATAATAACTGCTTTGGGGCAGCACAAACACCGAAGCACGCTTTTCCCTGCCCCACTCCTAAGAGATCCATGGTTCGTGAGGTCTGTGGCGCAGAGATCTGGCTCCTGGGTCAAAAATAGTATTTGCGTTTAACTGTCATACTCAAAACACTTGACACTTGGAGGCCACCAAGGGATTTCACTTTGATATCTTTTAGCTCACTTTGCAGTGGACAGGAACCCAGATGCTCTTCCTCAGCGTCTTAGGAAAACACCAAGCCTAGTTCCAGGATGTTATTCTTTGAGCAGGTCTATTTATATTGCTAATTAATTAATTGTGGGCGTTTCTTTCTTCTCTTCTTTGCCTTGCATGGGCAGCAGAACTGTCTACTTGAGGCTGGCCAGAAGAGGACTTTTCTGAATATTATTTAGGGTTTGCTTTTACACGGAGGCAACTTCCCTCTTCTGTTTATTCCAGAAATGGCAGAAAACTTATCATTAACAGTTGCATGACTGAAGCTGTCACTTGCGTTAAAACTGAGAAAGCTTGATGGCTCTGAGAAACCTTCATAAACGCATCCACTGTTTCTGTGAAATCTGGATTCACTGCCTGGATAGTGCTATTCCTCTGCAGCTGAATGGGGTGGTGTGTGGAGATTTTGGAGAGAAGTGTTCAATTGCGCACAGTGTGAACACTGATCATCCAGCAGGGCTAGTTTGAGATACTGGCAAAGCAGGGAGCCATTGGCGGTGTCAGGAGCAAGAGTCAGAAGCTGAGGTGCCTGGGCACTCCGTGTTCCTGAATCCTCGTTACGATGCACCGGGACACAAGAACAGCTGCGCTGGACTAGAGCAAAGGTCTCTCCTGTCCCGTGTTTGAGAGCAGCCAAAAGCAGGTGCCTGTGGAGCAGTGCGAGAGTGGAGTGAGAGTATATAGTGCACTCTGCACGATGTGCTCTCCCAGCCTTGATCGCTTCAGAACTGGCAGCTTCCCAGGCCAAAAACGGTTATCCCATGAATGCAGCAACACCTTAAGTCTACCCTTGAACCTCTATGCCTCAACACCAGCCTTTGTCTGGCCTCTGGCTTCCAAGTCATGAAATCCTTTGGTGCAATCTCATTGCCTCATCCTTGTAGTGACAAAAATCAGTTTTGCCTTTGCTGCTGAAGGGCCTTGAACTTGTTCTGTCATTGAGTGACTTCCCATGGTGTTCCTTTACTTTTATTGTCAGCTGACATAGTGGAGATTAACTTTCAGAAGGCTTCCCATGTGTGGGAAGGGATTGGTGGTTACAAACCCCTTATTTTTCAAGGGCTGGTCCACCAGCTAAGGTCCCTGGAAGAGGGTATAGCTTTCATCTTCAAGTCCCCCCACTCATTTCTTCACAGAATCTTTTGAAGGTCCCCTGAAGCCACCACTCCCACCGTTCTTCAGTCCATTGCTACCATCTAAACATATCTAAATGCTCTTCTGCTCTTCCACCATTTAATCATGGAAGAGTTTCTTTTTGGAGAGACTTGTCTGCTGCATTTCACCTCCCATGTGCCGATGTAACAAGAACTGGACCCACGTTGTGTAGATTTCCCAGAGAAGATCTTGTTTTCAGCCTAGCTGCCCAGACCGGTCTCGCTCTGCACAGTCCTGTTGGAGCACACCCGGCACTTGCTGGCAAGTCTGGTTTGACATGACCCTTCTCTCGATGACAGGGTTCACTGATCTTTCAGGAGGGAACATAAATACCTTCTACACTGCATATCGGTGAGAAATCGGTTTATTTCATGGGCCACAAGTGAAATATAATGTAGCATCTACACACACATTTCACAGAAACATTCCCTTCAGGAGACAAAAAAAGGTCTTTCAAACTGCTGGCTTACTCTACTTCGTGTTTAGCGAAGTCTGAGTATCCAGAAAACTTCCTGGCATGGCCTACAGCTACATTTTTTTTCCTTTTTAGTATGACAAGCTAATCTCATTCTGCATTCTTATTAGATAAAACTTTAGACTTGTCTTTAACCATAGTATTAAATCTCAGTTCCTGAGTAATTTCATAGCAAACTCTTAAACCACAACCTTAACTGCCCATTTGTTTGGGGGTGAAATATCTCCCCTGTCGAAAGGAGGTTTGGTGCCTTTTTGGGGTATCTGGTCTGCCAGTGGCTGCTTGGATAGGGCCTGCTTGTGCATGAATGGGGAGAAATCCTAAAAGTAGCTCAGGACGCATTCCTGGCAACAGGAACCTGCACAAGGACAGGGCAGTAGTGACGTGGACAACTATG